TTTTTTTTTTTTTTTTTTTTTTTTCTCCCTTTGCTTCTTCTTCTCCTCCTTACCTTTCTGAGCCGAGGGTCTATTGGAAATAGCCTCTCTATCTTTACGTGGTAGGGGTAAGATATGCACTCACACTATCCTTCCCAGACCCCACATGTGAGAATATACTGGGTATGATGTTGTTTTGGTGTTGTTGTAATGAAAATGGTAAAAGGAGGAGAAGGAAATTCTATTGGGAAAATGAAAGGACGAAAAGGAATAGCGATTTTTCTAAAACATTTCTCTGGAAATATTGGGAAAGCTTGTCTGGATTTCTGGGATCCTTTTGATATTCTAACTAATTGCTCTTGCGCCACATTGTTCTGCTGCCGCCAACCGCTTTGCGTGGACCGATCATGTGACTTAATAATAACCCATGTGTAATACCCTCTTTTAGTATTCTCCATAACTAGTACTAGTTGATTTCAAAATATTGAAATCCAGTTCGAGGAGACCTTTTAAGAAATCAGTTTACATTAGCTAGAAATTTTAGTATACTAATTCTTTAGTTTTAAAGTACAATCAATTAATCGATCAACTATCTCACTAGGGGGCAAATCTAAAATTCTGCATTTTATCTAGCCAAGCTAAAAACAGACTAGAAGATCAGTATAATGAAACACCCGTCATCTGATTGATATGTCTTACCAGTGTTTAAGGAATAAAAGAAACTGAATTGATAAGGCTTCATTTTGCTTCAAGCGAATCACATCCTATATAACACAGCTAAACACTCGTGTATACAAATAGAGGCATTTACGGCGACTCGGGGGACAAAGGAGAGGCACGCCCTGTGGGTCTTTTCCCAGTGTTTCAGCAAAGGCTTTCTCATTGACAGCATTCTCATGTAACTCGATATGGAACTACAAAAACCAATTCAAGGAGTAGATTTTCATGCTTCATAATGCAACACCCACTATGCCATCCACTCTTTACTTGGAAATTTCCATCGGCATTGAAGCCTATGTACAAATATAATCACAGTTTTGGGGGACAAGCAATTACGCCTTCCCCAGGTCAACTACGTATGACCTCAAAAATGAAAAGAATGAAGAAGCTATACCAAAAGAAGAAACTCATTTTACAATTACACACCGATTACTGACTTACACTATAACGCAATATTGCTCTTCTGAGTTTCATGACGGCAAGGATAGGGGATCACCAACCTCAAAAAGTGGGACCCCCAAATTGCAGCAAGCATGAGAAGCAAGATTGTAGATCATTCATGAAGTGCTAACACTTCCAAGCTGCCGGAACAAGTTAAGATTCAGCAAGACGAGACTGAACCATGGAAACATCCAGGGGCACTTTTCCCTTTTAGGCTCCAGAATCCTGAGAGGTCAGCGTTCGGATGTGTCCACTGAGAATAAATCAGAAGCTCCATGAAGATGCAAAAATTCAGGAGATATGGGGGCTGGAATACAACTTTCTAAAATAATTTTGATTTCACTGGCATCGTACAATCAATATCATCCTCAAGATCACTAAATGAAATTTCCTCCTCATTTCCCGTTAAAATTCCAGTGCCAGAGTAGCCTTCTGACTCTTCAATGTCTTGTAGCCAATCATCCTCATGCTCATCATAGTCCAAGAATGGTGGTTTAAAAGAAGGACCAGCCACCAACTCCTTATCTAAGATCTTACTAGGAGGATTTTCTTCAGTAACAACCTTGTCAATAAACTGGATCTCTGTACTTCCATGTTCGAGCTTCTCAGTTTCAATGTCAGGAGTGGTCTCAAATGCAAAACTCCTTTGGGGCATAAAAAATCTACAGTGAGCATCTTCGGATGAGGTGGAATCGAAGTCTTCACATGGCGAATATGTGCTCTCCTTCAAGAGAAGCGTATTCATACCAAAAAAATCTGAGTCAGGTTTTGTCTTCTTTTGGAGCTCTCGCATCCACATAGCCCTTGCTTCAACAAGCTGAGAAATGAGCTCACAAAAATTAATAGAGCACAGAGACTAGCTAATTATCATGTGAAGCCTTGTAGATACAGAATGTAGGACAAGTAAAATTACAACACATCCATCATTGGAACTACTCTGGTGATGCACAATACCCCATTATCGGGCAATACTCTTGGTTAAAACTACTCATGATCAAGAAATAAAATTGCTTCTAGCAATGATAACAGGGGCTTGAACCAAATCAAGGCTGTTTCAGTTCTACCTGCTCCCGAATAACTTCTCCTTTAAAATAACTAACACAGATGAGATCATTAACTTTCTGGACGGCAACTCAACCAGCTGTTGCTTTAAACTCATAAATTGACTCCAACAAATCGTGTTTCATGCAATTTTTTAGCAAATTGAGTTGGGTTATCTGTTACCCACAAGCTTTTGAGCATAACTAACTAATCAATTGTGATTATCATAAAAAATTCTGGTTGGATTTTCAAGAAAATCCCTTTGGGTTGGTGAAGGTATGGAGTGCTTGCTGAGTGATCATCATGATTGTGCAACTCATTTCAGTGATGATCTTATAAGCAGGGCAGAGTATTAACAAACCTGGGGTGTAGACAACAGCTCAGCGTCATGTTTATTGAGTCTTGTGTGAAGAAGAACAAAATAAACCATCCAAAAGTAACCCTCACTCATATGGACAGGGCAAAGTTCATTTCTGAGAGCAGCTAATCTCGGTGCCAGACGTTCAACAGCAAATCCATGCTTCTGTTGGGCTTCAGAGGTCTCAAAATCTAAACAGATGAGAAAAAAATATTCATGATAGTTTTTTGGAAACATAACCACATTTTATTACTTAAAAAAATGGACTAAGATATTATTAAGTATCAACAATACCTCAAATATACATATACATACAATGCATACATCCTTAATATACATCAAAGGATGCTTTCACGGTTGACCCTAGCATGAGTAACAAAGGAAGAAAGAAGATAATATACCAACCAGAAAAGGCAGTGATTTTTGAAGGCAAAATTAAAAAACTCAAGCCATGCTGCAGACCAGGAAATAGATGCAACATCAGCTCCCTGTCTTTATCGTATGGTTTTTGACTTACTTTCTATTTTATCCATCTCAACAAGAATTAATTCATTCCTTAAAAAGCAAAGCTTAGTAGTGTTTCTTATTGTCAAACTAGCATATCAGAATATCAATTCTATAGTATTTGACATCTGATGTGATCTTTCCACATCCTTTCACATCTTTCAACTACTATTATAACAGATCTGTACCAAACTCAAATACAGTCACTCAGTTAACTTTCTTCTGTAATCTCCATGAAAATTCAACTAGGTCAAGCAACTACAAATGCAAGGATAAAAGGAATCAAAGCTCATCATTCAAATTCACATCATCGAATGTCTTGCCATTCCACGAGCCTAAACAAAAAAAGGAACCATATCAGGATTAAACCAAATTGTGCTTCCAGCTGACATTCTTTGATCCTCTCAACCTATTTTTTTTTTTTTTGATAAGGTAAAGGTTTTATTGATAAAAGTACCAAGATGGTACATAAGATTACACCAGGATCAGACAACACCTATAATAGCATACTTTCAGTTACAAGTTGCTTAGCACATCCAAAAACTCCATATAATGATCTAGACTTTCAACTAAACATTTCTTACACCAAAAAAATAAATTTTGAAGACAAGTATTTTTTTTTCTAGCAATGTGATTCCTCTTGGCCTCAAAGATTGTTCCTTTCTTCCCAGATGGTCCAGAAAATGCATAGAGGGATGGTCCACCATAGTTGCTTCTGATTCCTTGATAACTTCTGCCCTTTCCAGCTGACCAGTAGAGATTTTATGTCCGGAGGCATAGTCCACGAAACACCACACAGATTCAAAAAAAGCTCCCAGCACTGTTTAGCAATTTTACAATGGATAAATAGATGATTAACAGTTTCCAACCCTTCTTCACATAAGTAGCATCTGTTACTTAGGCAGAAACCCCATTTTTGTAAATTATCTTGAGTTAAATTGGCTTCTCTGATAGCAACCCATCCAAAACAAGCCACTTTAATAGGTGCTTTGGTTCTCCATAACATTTTCCATGGCCAATTCGATTCATATTGATCCTCTCAACCTATTAAGAATGTGCTTTTCTGCCAGTGTTGTCAAAGTGTCGATTAAGGGCACTTAAGCATTGAAGCCAGGTGCAAAACAGGCTGAGCACTTTGCCTCGCTTACCTGGTAGTTCACTGCAGTCACCAAAGCGCTAAGGCATACGCCTACCAGTGGGCTCTCTCCTTAAGAGACCACAACTAAACAATATATATTTCACTTATTTGTAAACAAATTTAATTCCTTTGTCCATGTAAATTTTGTTTCTGCTTATAGCTATATTCTTAATATACATATATATCATTTTATTTCATACTTTATTTGCACTTTTCTTCCCTAAACCTCACGCTGTAATTGCATTATGCACTTAAAGCCCGACAGAGATTAGCTATTTTATGCACTTTTCGCTTTGGATAATACTGTTGACTTAATAGGATGAGATCGGCTTGATTTCAACTGAAGCGAGTTCTCAAACATTTCAGTACTCCAGTTCAATGTAGTAACTGCAACTGAATCATCAACATACTTTGAAGCACCATTATGGATGGTAATTTGATACCAAGGTTTGTATTGTTAAACTATACAAACAACCTCTGCCGACTGCAACAAGTACTAATAGAAAATGCACTTATCAAGCATCTCCAGCATTTCAACTTTATTATATGACTTAGACTCTTACTAAAATCAGCTTTCATACACAGTACTATCTTTTTGTTCCTTATCAGTACTGTTTTAGCACCGGTTTCCATGCTCTGTACTTTCTCTATTTAGTCAATTAATTCTCGAATAAGATGGTTCAGGGGCAAAATTGTTCCTACCTAATCAGAGGTCTTTCGAATGCAGTTGTGAATTTCTCCAAAGATAAATTCAGAAGGAATCACCCAGAGTGCTATACACTATAACCTTGACGTCTGCTAGACAAACAAAGAAACAAAAATTTGAAAAATGTTTGCACCAATTATCAGTGATACTCACACCTTAATCACATTCTATAGACTAAACCATCCATTTTAAGAACAGTCACCACAAACTAAACAATCAATCAATCAACGACTCAATCAGAAACTAGTTGAGGTCGATTATATGGATCCTCCATATCCATTCAGCTTTATTCGAACCTGATCCATTCCAAGACTAAGTAATTTATCCAGGCTTTGGTGACTAGTGGCAAGAGCACAATGCCTGATCTGGGTTAGGTGCACTTAACCAGTTCAACCCTACGCCAAAGCCAGGGTAAGGGGTGAGGCCATTATTCACAAAATTTCAAACTCTGCCCCACTGGTATAAAAAAGACTAAATAATTTATTTGAAAAAAAGTAAAGAAACAATCAAAAACTTTGTACCAACAAAAAATGTAAAATACATACCGTCAAAGTCGTCTTCCTCTAAGGGAAAATCCAACCAAGTCTCGGGATGATGAGCTATATTCCTTGCGAAGCCCAATGCTTCATCAGTTACTCCAACTGCATCATCAAATAAACTATCCTCCTCCACTTCATAATTCGAATATTCTAGAAAAACCCCCATGTCTCCAACATATTCCCTCTCTTCCTCCTCCGATACACCACTTGAACCTGATCGATCTGCCGAATCTGTCCGGTCCAGAACGGCATCCAAATGCTCCGATTTCACCGTCCAAACTGCCGCCGTCGGAGGTGGAGGAGGAGGAGGTGGTGGCGAAGGAGCGAGAAATGAAGCGACACCCCATAGTTGACGAGTTAAGGTTTCTTTCAGTTCGGACAAGTCTTCCTTAACACCCCCGCCGCCTTCGTTAACATCGGAGGAATCAACGTCATTACAATCAAATCCATTTTCTTCTAAATCGATTTCCTGGTAAATTGAAATTTCATTTTCGTCTCCAAGAGAATTGGAGGAATGAGTGACGACGTCGTTTTTGGTATTGTTTTTGTCTTCTTCCTCCTCGAGATGGAGATTGGTGGCTAAAGAACGAGGGAGCCATGATGACATGGCTACAGGAGGCTATACTTGTAATGAAGATTGGAATTTGATTGGATCGAGGAAGAAGAGGACATTTCAGAAAAAGTGCCTTGCATACGATTTTGATTTCTGTTATTTTTAGTTCTTTTCTTGTATTAAAGATTACGTGGTGGTTAACATGTTATTTATTTTAAATATACTAGATGTACCATGCGATGCACGGGCCCAATTATTGTTTTTTTTTTGGGAAACTTACACAAATGTCCCAAATAAATCTCAACTTACCAACCTCTAACCATTAGTCATAGACTTACCAAAACTAGCCAACAAAAATTGAAAAACCAAATAATAGAGTTCTTTCTCTCAAAGAAACACATGCAAAAATCACCTTCCATATTTTTAAGCGTGATTAGCAACATTAGATACAAGACGGAAAGGTAATTTCATGGACGAGGTAGCAAATAAGGTGATGAAATCAAAAATCTATACAATATTCCAAAAATCTAAACAAAAAAGGAATTTTTTCAATGGGTATAGTTGAAATTCATTGAAAATATATAGATAAGTCAATATACAAATTGAGAGATTGGAGTGATTTGGACTGGTTTTGTATCAAAATTCGTAATTAAATCGAGTTCAAAAAAGTCTTCTGCGACACATGTATCAAACATGTATCACGCATGTATCTCACACACAGGTATACATGGATATATACATGTGATACACAATTGATACAAATATGATACATATGTGATACACAAATGATACACAGTGTGATACACATATCATTNGATCTTCAGGTGAACATTTGAAATATATAATTATCAAAAAAATAATATTTCTAGTTAAAAGTACTTATTGAAAAAATAATAATAACAATCAAGTAATGCATTTAATGAATATTGTGAAGGTTGAATGGAAAGTGGGGTCCACCTAAAGAATTTAATAGCTTATGGGCAAGTTAGTTTTGGGTTTCCTGTTATTAAGAACCCACAACCAAACTTTTGAGCCAAATATACAAACAAACAATGCACTTATATATTTAAAATGACTATTATGCCCTTGGTCAACCTCCTCTTCTCTCTTCTATATAATAGAAAAATACTATTTAAAAAAATTATATTCTATAGATATATTTTAATGTTTATAGCAAAATATTTAATATTGGTTACTTCCTACCCCTAAACCACTAAATACACTATCTCCTTCCTCTCACCCACATCACCTACCACATAACATAATAGAATTTTGCGTTGTTTGTCTCTTCCTTCTTTCGGGTCCAATTTAACAGTGTAACAGGGGATCTTGCTCCTTCTGCTACTCAATTTGATTTTTTTTTTCTCATGTTTGCTTTGGTGATTTGGGGTTTTTGGATGGATGATGACGAAGAGGGAGATTTGATGTATAGAGTTGAAGATATGATTGACTTCTGCAGTTATTTCAGGACTAACCAACTTTACAACTACTGCATTCTTTCTGACTCCTTATTTTTTAACTGTATTGGTGTTCTTAGTAGTCTATTGGGCTTTGATCTCTTTAGGTTATAAAAATGAACCCAGAGGATAATGTATATGTGGCTACATCCATGATTGACATGTACTGCAAATGTGGAAGATTAAGGATGGCGAGGAATGCATCAATCGCATGAAGGAAAAGAATGTGAAATCATGGTCTGCCTTGATTGCAGGTTATGGTATGCACGGTAGAGCCACGGAAGCCCTTCAAGTATTTTACGAGATGAACTTAGCTAGGGTAAAACCAGATTTTAGGCAAAATACATACTTTACCCATCGAACTTGTCCCCAAATCCCTCTTACACATCTCTTAAATGCGGGAATAATATTACACACCAAAACTTTTAAAGATGTGTCAATTACACACCACTTCGGTGTTTGACCGCATATGCTCAAAGATTGCTCTTACACGTGCCGATCAGCATCTGACACGTGTCAAATCGAGGAAAAAAAAGAAAAACTAAAAAAAAACTCTGCAACCCCCCCTCCCCCCCAACCCCCTCTTCTCATCTTCTCAAAGAATAAAAAAAATACAGAAAAGAACCCCGTGTTTTTTGAATTTTATCAAAATTAATTACCTAAAAAGTTTTACTCAACAAAAATCACGAATTCAAACTAATTTTTTAGGTCACGGACCACCAAAATCAACAAGACCCGATTAAATTTTCAAGCTTTTTCAAAAAGTCAATAATGGTGATTTTTACAATACCCAATAGCTTCTATGTTCTTCTTTTTTTTCTTTTCTTCTTAGTCATGGGGTTGGAGAGACGAAATATGAGGTGGTAGATAAAACTAGGATGGGGATTGGGGACGAAGACGAACCGGGGGAGGGGGGTTGGGGGGGGAAGAAAAAACGCTGGGTTTTGGGTTTGGGGAAGAAGAGGGTTATATTTTTTTTTCTTTAATTTAAAGAAAATAGTTAAAACAAGGGAAAAATTAAAAAAAAAAACTTAATTTCTAGTGGATTTTTTAGTTTCCACGCGCCTCTTTTATGTGTAATACACGCGTGTGACACATGGTAAAAGAGGTGTGTAATTGACACGCTTTTAAAAGTTTTGGTGTGTAATACTATTCTCGTGTTTAACAACTGTGTAAGAGGGATTTGAGTACAAGGTCGATGAGTAAAGTATGTATTTTGCCCCAAATTATATTACCTTTATCTCTGTCATAACAGCTTGTAGCCATGCCGGGTTGCTGGATGAAGGGTGGTATTGGGGTTTTTTAGATGGATGATGACGAAGAGGGAGATTTGTTGTACAGAGTTGAAGATATGATTGACTTCTGCAGTTACTGCTAACAAAGGATGATGAGAGACAAGAGGGACATAAGGCCTGTAATTTTTATGTTGAATTTGTAATTTTGATGCGTGGGAACAGTGAGATTCAGGGTTTTTGCTCGACGGCGGATACACCAGAAATTAGGGTTTTTTCTTTAACAAAGACGACGGAGTTTGGGGCTGAGCAACTTGATTTTATGTTAATATATTTCAATGTATTTTTAACGTATCACGCTGTATTTTCATGTATTTCATTGTGTTCATTATCTTTTTTTTTTATTGTAATTCAATGTATCTCGCTGTATTCCATGTATTTCATTGTATTCACTATCTTTTTTTTCATTATATTTCAATGTATCCCGTTGTATTATATGTATTTCATTGTATCCACTGTCTCGCTATATGCCATGAATGTATTCATATATTTTTTTTAATTAATATAATTTATATATTCAGATGTATTATATAATATCTCTGAAGATTGCTATGTTTTTGGGGTATTTTTCAATTGAGAATCTTTTTTATAACTGAAAATACAAAATTTGTGTGTTATAATTGAGTTTGTTGAGTTATATTAGGAGTCTATTATGTTAATTGATTCACTTTTCATTTAAAAATAGTGTAATCCCCTGTTTCACGCCGTGAATACAGTCGAATACAATAATCTGTCCAGCTATAATCCCATGTTTCACGCCATGAATACAGTCGAATACAGTCAAATACAACAACCGATTAGCTGGACTTCCTTGATTCACACCTATTTTTGCTACTGTATTCACGAATACAGTAGCTTAAATACATCTAATACATCTTATAACAACAAAAAACGTATCTATAATCCGTAATATAGCAAATGGCATCTATAGATAGCTAATTACCACTAAAAGATAGTGCTTTATGAAAATTTCTCTAAAAGAAAAGTCTATTTTAAAGATTTGAAACCCCATGTTTTAATGGGATCTTCAATAAATAGTCAGTTTTACCGTTTACTTTCCGTAACCGGTACATAGATTATACACTAATTATATATATATATATATATATATATATATATATATATATATATACTAATTTCTCGCCTTGCACGTGCGTTGCACGTGTATGCCAAGCCATGTAGTATACTGACGATAGGCTATAATTGCGCATTTTAGTCGTTTATTACACTCTAATTTACTGCATTTTAATTGAGTTTGAGCTTTAATCGCTAGTGTCTTGCACTAATTGTGTGTTTTATGCCTCGTAGGAGTGATTCCGAGCTATGTAGATATTATGGAATGAATTCAAGTGATTTGGAGCTTTGAAGTCTAAGTAAAAGCCCAAGGAATTAAGCCGGGATCATATTCGGGGATCAACGGATGATAGAGCAACAAAACGAAGAATGAAGTAGGCATATTGTGCACTGTCTAGTAAAATGCACAGAACATTTTTCTCAGAACTCCATTTGAGCTCCACAATATATGGTTGGAAATCTAACTCAAAGAGCTACAACTTTCATGTTTTACGTTTTTCCAAATTCCAAAGGGAACAGGGTAAAAAACGCGGTCAAAACCGTGACCGCGGACCTGACGCGGATTGAGGCAGTATACTTGCCAAATACCGCGTCCGTGCCGCGCCCCGACCGCGGCCATCCAGGCCTGAAAACCTGTCCTTTTTCGCGTAGGAGAAGGTATACTAGTTTGGGCCCGACCCTACTTGTTAGTTGACTGTATTTGTAAAATAATTCTGGAAATATAAATGAATATAAACAGAAATAAACATAAACAGAAATGTCAGAAAACCAATTCGAGCCCACTGAATTCACAGTGTTTCCTTAAGGAATTTAATCCCCTCCTAGTACCCAAGGTTATTGATTATTTCCTCCCAGGATAGAACGAATTACACACTGGTGTAGTGGTACTTCAAACCCCAGTGTTTTAGCAAACACAAAATTCGGTAGCAAATCACACTTACTTTTTGCTTTGTTTGATGCTAAAAGTATGCAAAAGAAGGAGAAGAAACTCAGAAAATCGTAGTGAAATTCTGAGCATAATAGTGTTGTATTTATAGCCAAAGTTGGGCTGAAATCTGAAGAGGTGCAACTCTTCAGAATAGCTGTTTATGCAAAACGCCCACAGCATAAATGTCATTACATAAATGGTCATTTACTCAACAATAAAGAGGGAAAATAAAGAGGAAAAATTGAAGAGGGTAGTTACTTTTCTGTTACCAAAACAGAAAAACGGATTGGATTTAATATTAATTTTTAATATTAATATTCTGTTTTTAAAACAAATATTTAATAACATTTCTGTTAATATTTTACTATTAACAAATAAATTTGGTCCAAAAAGTTAATCAATCAATCGATCATTTGACCAAATTCAAATC